TAAAGAAAGAGATAAATACCCAAAACTTTATCACATTAATTTCACAAATAATATATCACGTGCTTTACCAATTTGGTCCAATATTCCAAGCAAACTTTGAAGACTTCGCGTTCTTCGACCTGTGAGATTCTAAGAAGGTAATAATGGGCTTTTAAAAGAGGCTGATTGTTCTGCTGAGACTCCATGATCTACAGAACAATCCGGTATATTGAGCTATTGTGAATTCATTTCTCAACTTTTCCAATAAAGAGACCGGGTCTTGAAGCTTTGTACCTTAAGATGAGTACTCAAAAAGCCTGTGAAAAACAGAGCCAAGTTCTGAATAAATTCCTGTTCTTCATTACTGCTACTCTTGTATATCGTGGAAAAATCTTTGTAAATTTTAGAAAAGTTAGATTATAATATCGAAATTAACTAAATGTTATAAATATATAACCATAAAATAAATTTATACCTGCAGAAACTGGTACCATAGTTTCGAGCGCCGTGACAACCATATTAAATAAGGCTATAAATTTATCATCGTACTCGTGGCTTACATTTAATGCTCCTATCTCACTCAAACATTTCAACGTTACGTTTCGATATTCTGGCGATTCCAAAAACTATGTAAAATAAATAATTAAGTTATTTCAAAGAAAGTGTAAGTCATTGTAAATCGTTAATTGGAAGTAATATGTAAAATTACCCTAGTCCGTAGATTCTCTATAATATTTGTCTCAAAAATGTAACCTAAAGGAATCCAATTTAAAAATTTCAAAAGAGTTTCTAAGGTTGCTTTTATTAGACTTGGTTGGTGCGCCTTTTCCAATACTTCATTACAAAGCTCAAATATTTTAGAAAACTCATGGCACATCTGCGTCTTTAAATTCTTTGTTTTGAGCTGTGTCATCTGTTCGGCTGAATAATCGAAAATTTCCTCGCTTAATGAAAAGAATAAAAGTAAGAATCATATCATTATGATATCATTATAAGCAAGATTTTTCGTTTATTTTTTTCTTCCTAACCTCAGCAATTTTAAAATGGCCATGTTATTCTCGCAGATTGTCACATTAGATCTACCAGTGCTAACAATTTCCGGAATAAATTGTGGCCAGTTATGAGGCCATTCTTGTTTAAGAATCTAATTGAAATAAGAAATTTAGCCAAGTGCGAATATAAAGATTAAAAGCATGAAGATCCAGTTTACTTTTTTAGTTACCTGAACTAAGATCAAATTAAGCTTGCTTAAATAAGTTTTTTCTCTTCGAAGCGTTTGTTCATTATCAGATGTGGCGACGATAATATTAACAATGAAACTACGAATTCCTGTTAATTATATTTATAATTCAATTAATATTAATCAATTAAATTACATAAAATATTTTTTTAATAAATAATCCATGCCTGCTTGTTGTTCCGAAGGAAGAATTTTCCACTTTTGTTGGATCAACTTTTCGAGGATTTGAAGAGCGATAAACTAAATAAATTTGATTATAATCAAAATCAAATTACTATTATTGTAATGTCAGATTACAAATATAAATGAGATGAGCGACAAAGAAACCTTGGTGTGAGTGAATTTGGACTTTTCTAATATTGTATCAACTTTTAGCCAAGCGTCCGGGTGATTTTGAAACTGAGTAAGCACTGATTGTGCCTTTTTTTGCTATTTTAGAAAATAAAAAATTATTCGAAAAAGAAAACCCCCATAAGAAACATTACATTAAATGAAAAATTCAAATGTTAATGGTCATAATTAAAAAAAAAATTGTAATGTAAACCTCTTCTCCAACTCCTGTATAAAACGCCCTGACGACAGCGTCTAGCTTATCGACGTCAAATTCTTGAGTGAAATCCAGAATGCCCTTGACCAGAGTTAAATAAAAAGAAGATAATTCGCGTAGATTTGATATAAACACTCATTATTATATTTATAACTGCGCTCCAATATATAACATATTTATATAACTTTTATTACCTCCATACGGTCTAAATTATTGCCTGTTATCATAAATAAATTATTAGAAAGGCAAAGTTAACTAGTTATTCAAACGAAGAATAGATTTATTATTAGTATTTATTTAAAACATACAAATAAAAAGCACGTTCTAAATAAAAAGAAAGAAAAAAAAAATATATATATATATATTTATTTTAAATTTTATTTTACTTCTTTCGTATTTTAACATATATATATATTTTTTATTACAAAAAGTTTTGTAAAGGTAAAATTTTAAAAAGGCACACTAACCAAGATCTTGAAAAGGAAGAAGAACGGTGAAATTCTTAAAGTTTGAGGAAGTTAAATGATTTGTCAGGGTGATTTGTCAAAAGATCGCCCTTTAAATGATTTGTCAAATTTGATTTGTCATTCACAAAACGATTCGTCAAACAGATTTTGTGATAACAGAAAACAAATTTTTTTGGCGGGAAAAAAAATGATTCGCTCCGAACAATACAAAATCGTTTAGAATAAAAAAAAAAAAATTTTTTTTTAAATAGAAGAATTAAATATAATTTTAAAGCCAATGTTTCGAATTTAATTATTTATATCTACGATGATCTATGATTATCTCATCCATTACCATGACTATCATTACCACGTGATCCTCGATTGCCACGACCGCGACCGCGACCTCCGCGACCACGACCACGAGAACCTCGACCTCCAGTATATCCACCTCTTCTACTCCCGCGGGAACCACGGGAACCGCGAGTTCCACGAACAGCCTCTTCATCGTTGGCACCACGTGAACCACGTGAACCGCGTGAACCGCGTCTACTTCCCCCATCATTGGGTCTGTTGCTAGTACCACTGCTCTTTGATAGTAGCATATCCATATTATCATCACAACCCCCAAAGCAACCCCTGTTGATCCTATTGCTGCGATACACTATAGTAAGGTAATGAATAGGCGAATCATTACCCGAACATATTGTACATATTTCACTGTTAGTAGAAATACTTTTTATTGAACTGGAGTTATTAAAAAAGAAACCATGGCTACAATTCGGATAATCAATACACGATATGATCCAATTGCTTTGGATGTTTTTCAGATACATAGGCCGAAGATCTTGAGTTTCCCGGCACCATCGGACTAGCTTTGGATTTTCAACATTAACTATATTATTAAAAATTCTATTTATATCATTTGCTTCAGAGTTCAAAGTAAAATATTTCGCGAATCCTTCCACTAGACGTTGCAAATTATTATGGGTCAATGAGAACATATCTCTATATTTGTTAATGGTTTCAGTCAAAACATCATTTTTCTCTCGTGTCGCTTCGCATATTTGTTTTAGGTTTTGTTCCATCTTTGCTCTTAAAAGGGGTTTGGTTAAAGATTCATTAAAGGCGATCGAATCATAACCTTCAACAAGGGCAAGTCCCAAATTAGTTGGGATTAAATAAGTTTTGCTTCCGTGAACTTGTTTTTCAACATACTCACGATCAATAATTTTTTTGATGTGCTCGTGAATCGTTGCGTCAGTGCCTATCCCATTTTTATCCATGATGTTAATCAGTTCCGCCTCGGTTAAATATTCTGGTGGTGATGTTTGACCTTCTTCCATCTTGCATTCCTTTGGTGTAAACGTTTCATGAAGGACGAAATTTGGAAGATTTTTATCATTCCAACGATCATACGGATATACTTCTAAATAATTATAATCTGAAATCACAAGTCCCGTAGCGGTAAAATATTCATCCTTGATCCTGATCTTAACGGTAGTTTCATTTCCTTTAGCATCTTCCGAGCAACAGGCTAAAAATCTTCGAACGACGAACTCATAGACCGTTCTTTCTTTGCCAGTCAATCCTGAAGCATACTGTACCGGATGTATTGGAGGATGAGCTTGATCATTATGTCTACCCTTCTTTGTAGTTATTCTCTTATCAAGCAAGTTTGACGCAAAATCCCCCCATCTTTGATCATTCGTTTGCGCTTGAATCAACTCTTGAAAGTTAAAATTATGATCATCGAATTGATCAGTTTCCGTTCTTGGATAACTTATGAAACCTTTATTATATAAATCTTCCGCAATTTTCATGATTTCATCCGATGAAATATGTAAAAAACGACATCCCGCTTTCTGCAATTCAACCGTAGTTAATGGGTATGGTTTATATTTTTTCGTTTCTTTGGTTCCAACTTGTATAACATGCGCTATTATCGGTTGTTCCATAATCAAATCATGATATATCGCATTACAACAATTTACATTAAATAATTTGTCTTTTTCCCAATTGAAATTAACCGTCATGTTATCTCTTTCGGCTACTACGTGTATCTTCCAGAATGATTCTCTAATAAAGTTTTCAACAGCTTTGTATTTTTCAACCACAAAACCAAGGGTTGGAAATTGACATGAACCATAGCTTAATACTTTTTCACTTCCAAGTTCCGGAAAAATCTGTTTAAAACCCAACGTTTGATACCTTGTAAACGCGTATCCAATACGTAAATCTAGTTCCATCCTTGCGCTAACTGCTTCGGCTTGATTTATGTCAAGTTGTGCGGGCGATTCCCACGCTTGCTTAATTTGTGTTGGTATAATTGCTGAAAACCTCGCACGTGACACAGTTATATCAGCATTTGCCATGACACAAATATCTTTAATGTCCGAACCGATTTTTTCACCTTCTCGATCGCAATCGGTCCATATCATCAAATGACTTACGGTATGCGCTATGTTAAAAATGTTATCTCGTATAGTCTCCGCGTTTTCGGCGTCGATGGTTTTTTTTATAATAGGCGCGTCGAATAAAACGGCTGGTGAACAACTTTCCCATTTGGCATATTGGTAAGGGAAATCAAGTGCATTTATATGACCGCAAACTGAGGTCATTATTACCTGTACTTCTTTACTATTCAACTGACATTTGAATTCATAGTTCTTAATGTAAGCGATTCTGGAATTTCTCATTACAAAACAGTTTCCGGACAAGATTTTAGATATTTCTTTGGCTACTGAAGGTTTTTCAGCAACACAAAGAACTTTCGTTTCGCTTGTCATTTCAAGTTTAAATTGCTGGTACAAAACGTGTAAATAAACTCTTAATTATATAATTAGCAATTGTTTTGACAGATCAGATAGTAATGACTAGCTTGACTAGCATTAGCGTTGAACGCGTATATATTATTTCTGTAAGGAGATGATTGGTTGCCTTAAAGCTTTCTGTGATTGGTGAAATTTGTTGCTGATCACAAAATTATTATTAAAAAAATCGTGTAACTATAATGGAGTTTAACTATCTCAAAATCTTAACCAGGAACGAAATTTCGAAAAATCTTGCCCTGCTTTCTGCGGCTTAATGTTATCATTCTGCGGATATTTTATTATATTAATTATAATTTCTGCTCAATTCAGCATAAACAAAAAATAAATTTTTATTATTTTATTATCTCGAAAAAAATTGCCATTAAAATACATCATATTTAATTTTTTCAAGAATCTTCTGAAACATTTTGGTGATTATTATCTAAATATTATTATAAATTGAGAAACTTCTTTTACACTATAAATAAGTACAGATAATCAAATATAATTAAGTGTTATTTTTGAAAGAATTGGTAATTTATCTTCAAAATTCATCCAAAATTTTTAAATCAAATTTCTTTAACTATATTTTCTAATTGCAATTCACAATCTATAATAAATATTCATTTACAAAGTAATTTATCAGAAGGATTTGCTAATTCTTTAATAATACTTTAATAACTAAGGTTATAAGATAAAACCTAGAGGTTTTTATAAGTCATTTAAATAAAAATAGATAAAATTTAGCAAAATTATATTAGAATTTTAGTAAAAATCTGTGAAATTCTAAAAAAGGTAAAATTATATTAAAGCTAATAAAATGCAAAAACTATATTAAAATCTTAATTAAACATTTTGTCAAATCCAAAATAAGTTTAAATAAGCAACCTTAATAATAATGCAAATTATTTTTTTCTTCAAAATACCAATATATATTTAGAAATAAAAATTTAAAGTAGTTTAAAAAAAAAAATATGTAGGATATAAAAAATAAAAAATAAAATTTGTTTTAAACTTCTTTAAATTTAATTAAAAAATAAGATAAAAATTAATATAAATTAAAATTATAAGAAGTAATAGTAGTATTAAGCTTTAAACTAAATCTAAAGAATTATAATTGCTTTCTAAAATGCAATAAAATAATAAAAATGTTATTTTACTAAAAGAAATATAAGTTTATTTTATATTTGAAAAAATTAGTATCTTATATAAATTGTATATATATATAGAAATAAATGAATAATAATTAAAATAATATTAATTTCATAAGAATTAGAAAGAATATGTAGAATGATTTGAAGAGTTATATTATTTAGATTATTAATTAATTCATCTTAAAAAAAGAAAATCTAATATAGTAGTCACATATGACTTCATAATATAATTATATTATGAAGTCACATGCGACTTAGATTAGGGTATGAAGAAAACTTTATAGTTTGCTGATATCTTTATAATATAATGGTAACTTCATAGTTTGCTGGTATTTTCATAATATAATAGTAACTTCATAACACAATGGTAACTTTATAGCCTATTAGTAACTTTATAATATAATAGTGATATCATAATCTAATTATATGATCTGGCTGTAACTTCATAACCTATTATCCATAATCTGATAGTGACTTCATAACCTACCAATGGATATCTTCTTTATATTTATAATATTTTTTTAATTGTTTTCTATAAATATGGTGACAACTTCATAGTCTAATTGTGAATGGTATTACTTTAATTTAATGATGATGTTATGATCTAATAGTGACTGCTTTCTTTTTATTTCTAATCCGTTTACATAATAAAATCTATATTATTGGTTTTGACTTTTCAGTCTTATTTGAATGCTTAGTTCTATATTAAAGTGTTGACCTTTTATACTAGTTTAGATACTAGTTTTATATTAAGAATTTATACCTATTTAGTTACCTTTCTAGATGTTAAAATAGTATAAAAAAGGTAATAAGTGATACAGTAAATTCATGATTAATTTTGGTCAATATCATATCTTAATTCTGGCTAATCTTTAGAGTATGTGATTTAGGAATCCAGTTTGACGTTATGGTAATGACCTAATAGTATCCTAAAGCTGTTAAAAACTATCAGGATGTCAGAGAAGTTCCTATTAATTCACCAGCTTGGATGCTGAATTGTTATGTTCAAAGATCTGGCTGAAATTATAGAATAGTATTGGCTAAAATTAAATAATTGTCAGAAGTGCGTCATCCTGTAATCTAACTATTGCACTGATATATATATGCTAATTTTACATTTAAGATTAGAGTTGCGATATGTATTATCATGATCAGCCCATTTATACTATACCTAAGTATATATCTAAAAAGGTGAAAGCTTCTGCTAATATTTTATATAATAATTCTGCAGAAGCCTTCATATTATATTTGAGTATTAAGGATAAGTCTTTTACTAATATTTATATAATAGATTACGCAAAAGACTTATCTTCTGAATGTATATTATTTTACCTTCTTTTTGCAATTTACTTATCTTTTTACATGATCTATGTGGGTGGGAGTGAAATGTGTGATGAAGTAATAGAATGCGGGAAACTTATAGATAGAAAGAAATTAGTTATAAATACTTTTTGAAATTGCGAGAGAGCAAAGAAATAATTTGATACTAGAACTCGCATTAAAATGGCCTAGGATCCGCGTATTCCCTCCCTCTTTGATCATATATTTCTCTTGCAATCCTACTAATC